AATGATCAAGGGTGACCATCTGTGACCTCTTAGAAGGTATCTGGATGTACATTTTCCACTGCTGAAGTGCTGAGATAACTCAGCGCGGCTGCTGTGTGAATTTGAAAGCATATCATCAGATACAGCAATGTTTTTCAGCTACACATGTTGTTTTGTGGTCTCTCCTAAATGAAAATCGGTTCTGCAGGTGGCTAAAACTAGAGGATAATTTGTTTCCAGGCTCGTTTGGAATCTCGTAGTGAATTCAGAGCTGTGAACTGAAGGCAGAAATAAAAGCAGGCTGTGATTTCAGAGAGCTTCTGTTTTCTGTGATGAGGAAGTAGCTGAGCAGGGTGGCTGCTCATGTAAAGCTTTCATCTAAGCCAAAAATGTTGTTATCTTCTGCAGAAGCTTATCAGGTGTTGACTGGTGTTTGGGCAGCCTGTCCGGGCAGCTGTTTGCATGAGAAACATGCTGCGAATATGAGACTTTGATATATCTGCAACTTATGAATTCCTGTTATGTTTTGATGTGCTTCCTGCATAGATCCTGAGACATCACTCCACAGGTGGTGCCAAAACAGAAGAAGAAAAGCTCAAGTTCCCCTTTTCTGTTATATTTTCCACCTTAACTTTCCTCTTTCTCTGAAGGGAAGCCTGGAGAAATGCATTAATAACAGCCAGTAAAAGGCCTTGCCTTAGAGCGACAGGGTGATATTGGAAAAGAGAGGACAAATCTTCAGGTGGGGGGGACCCATCTCGGCAATGTGACAACTTCTCAGGGATCCTCATTAGCCTGGGTGCTCACCAAGCTGCTGCTCTCATTTTAAGCTTTATTTGGGAAACATGTTTCTGCCTGGAACGTACAGAAGGTGCAGTAATGACTCTGGGTAACCTGCTTATCTTCCTGACTGTGTGGTGGTAATTACTTTCTGGGCAAAGTCCCTTAATTAGGCCCACCAAGGGAATGCTCTTGCTGCCTGGTGGTCGCTTTTTAAGCTCTCCTGTGCCAGGGAGGAGCATCCTACTTGGAGGACTTTGCGTGTCCTTTGAAAATAGTTGGGTGGAAAACAGCAGGGAAAACTGCTAACTCATTTATCTAGTCAAATTATCGAAGTGTATTTAAGCGGTGGTGGATGGCGAGCAATGAACATTCCTCTTTGTGGCCAAATGCCTCTAGAAGAGGATGGAAGGACAGCAGGGATTGAAAGCTTCAGGTTATGAAGGGTGGGAAGAATGCAGGGAAATGCAAGTGCATCTGGCATGGCAGGGTCAAGCAGGCAGCAGGATTTTGGGGTCCACCAACACTTCTGGAGAGCAGCCAGGTAATGCTACTGAGGCTGCAGGAGCCTCCAAGTAATGAAATCAGCATTTCAGCCATCTCTTTGGCTAATCCACTTACCTTGGCAGGTTAGGTCAGGGATGAGTTTAGTTAAAGCAACAGCTTAGGAGGCCGTGAGCGGATTGATAAAATATAATTCCATTAAGAAATCATTTTGAGCTTGAATGGCACTAGCAGTTCTGTGGGAACCCGCATCTCGGATGGCTTTGGGCAGTTTGTGTGTGGGGACATTGCTGCATCTGCCAGACAGTTATGCATTGAAAAGCAGAAGGGCAGCTGTGCCCAGAGGCAGCTCTGGCAGGAGGTGCCAGCTCTGGCACGTGCGAGATGGGGGCGCCACATCCGCATGTGGCAGTGACCAGGAAATTCCTCTTGGCATCTGCCCCGGCTCTGTCCTCAATGTTAAAACCTTCTCTCTTTCTTTCTCTCTCTCTGTTTCCCTCTTGCCTCCCTGCCTGGCTCCCTGCTCTCACAGCAACGTGGACACAAAGGAGCTGTGCGGTGAGTACTGGCCTTTCTGCACACCAGGTCTGCTTTCCAACAATGCCTAAAAACTGCTAAAAAGTCACGTTAACTCCTGTTTCTGTGGCATAAACAATTTCTTTGGTTGTGCCAGAATTAAAAATAAGTGTGTGAGGCTCACGTAATGCAAGAGCTGGAGCTGGTTAGCCAGATGTAAGGTGGCTGCAGGTGGCCCTGGTGGCCCTAATGCAGGTGGCCCCAGCTGGCAGAATTTTCTTCATTTTCCTGCAACACAGAAGGGGTCCAAGCTGGAGCACGATGACAGGATCCAGTTCGGTAACAAGGTGGAGTTTAATATCTGTTTGCAAGCTTTGCTCTGCACTTCAATAAACCAGGATCCCTCTGTGCCACTAATAATGTGCTTATCCTTAGGTAAACCCTGCCTGCTTTGCAGCAGGCTTGCTAAAATACATGTAATCCCTCCACACCTCAGTGAAATTAAAGGCTGAAAAGCAAATCTGTAGGAACACTTTGGCTCACACCCCATTCCGACAGGAATTGCCTCTTGGAGGTGTTTCTCAAGGGTCCTGAGGCAACCTTCACCCTATACCTTCATCACTAGTTACAGCATTCAAAGTGCAATAGATAAGACTATGGTTGTGTAGGGTTGGGTTATGATGAGACAGTGGTTGTGTAGGATTTTCTTAGTCCTCATGTAGCCCCACACCTCTCACTGGCCACGCCAACACAAACTGTAAGGAAGAAATCCCTATCTTGGTTTAGCTCCAACCAGTTCTTAATTTATTTGGGAGCCATTTGAGCCCCCTCATCCTTCAAGCTGATGAGGTTACAGCATTTTTTTTCATAAATCCCTAAGCCACCAAAGTGAGATAAGATTGTAGAGGAAAATGCTGCCTTTTTTATTGGACCAGTAGGCAAGCTTTTGAGCACATAGACTTCAAGCCTGCAGCAAAAGCTCCTTTCGCTAGAGCACTAGCTAGATAAACCCCCAGCTCATTTTGTGCAATGCAAGGGGTGACTGGTCACCCTCAGATCCTGGGTCTATCATGTATCTGCTGAATACCTACTGTTGCCAGCAGTGTGCTTTTTTATTTACTTGTCACTCTTCTAAGAGGTGTTTTATATATATAAAACCTCATCCTGGCAAGATGGAAACTGTAGTCTCTCTCTTGGAAGTGGTTGTAGCTTGTAGCATGCTGAGAGCATCTTAAAATGGATCCTTGGACTCTGCAGTTTGTGAGGGAAGTTTAGGATGAATTAATCGTTATCAGGTAGTATGCTGTAAAGCTCTGTGGCTTTCCAGCAGTCACTGCAGCAGGCGTCCTTGTTTAATTGTTTAGGAAATAGTATCAATGTGTTAAAATGGGAGATGATGACATGTGAAACTGTTTGGCCCTCTGTTGCCCTGGGGGAGGATGAGAAGCGGTGCCAGAGATGGGTCTTCCTCTGAGGGTGTGTTTACACCATGCAAGCGAAGTGCCAGACTTGGTGCCATATATTTCCACCATGTTTCCACCAGCACAAGCATCTGTGGCCACAGAGTGGGATCAGGGAAGCTGTGTGGCTGAAAAAGAGATGACCAGGGTACTGAGTAAGGGCTTTCCCAGAGGGAAATGAGTGGGGAAACCCCCCTCCTCTGCACAAGAACCCCATATGGCAGTGGCTGCGCATCTCCTGGGCATCCATCCCATTAAGCTTGCCCTATGCACAGGAGCTATATGCAGGAACCAGCCAGGGTAGCAAGATCTCAGATGTTCACAGGGATACCGCTGTGAACAGGGCAGGTGTAATATGCATAAGGCTAAAATCATAGAGCTGCACAGCTGCAAAAAGGAAGCTGGTGCTGTTCTCCCAAACGCTCACTTCCCTTGTGCTTGCAAGATGGCTGGTCATCATCAAGAGCCATACTATGCCAGGAGAAACTTTTTTCTTCTGAAACGTGCGGGCTCTTGCTTTTTATTTTAGGACTCAGAAAGATAGATTGCCTCTGCTTTTAAAAACTGTTCAGCTGTTTGCTTTTCTTTCCCTGTGAAAGTAAACATGCTGCCTGGAGAATAGGCTGTTTGGCTGGCAGCAAACAGCAAGCAGCTGCTGTCAATCTTGTTGTGACATTCCAGCTTCTGCCAAAATCTTCCTCCCCTTGGATATGTTCTAAGGCCATAAATAGATATAGGCACTTCTAATGAAGCTGAGAGAGCCTAATTAGCGTCTAATTGTCTCCTGGAGTTTGTTTCTTGTTGAATTCCACAGCGGCATCATCTCCAAATGAATCTTCACTTTTTTAATGTTGAAGAAAAGCCCTGGTACCTTCTAACAAACAGCTTTTAACCATAGTTTGTCAATCATATAGCAATTGGTTAGCTTTGTGTCTCCACAGCAAACTTAGCATGTCTGTTGCTGCCAAACTTAATTTCCACTATTTCCATTGTAAACATCTAATTTCAGGACTTGGTAGTTCCTATATAAAACTGTGCCAGGACTAAAATGTGTCCCTGGAGCAATTGGTTCTGTGCTTTTAGCAGTGTTTTGCATTAGTACAGAATAGTAGGGGTTACTTGGCATGAGCACCCTTTCTTGTAGGAAGCACGTGGGTGGCCCAGCAAAAGCCAAAGGCGGGTGGAGAGCTGGATGGATGCCAGACCACATCACACTAACCTGGTGGAGATCACTGGGAAGCAAATACAGGACCACACAACTGATTACAACATCTGATTTCAGATTACAGAGTATAAAAATGTAATCAAAATCACCTTTCAAATGTTTTTCTTTCCACCAAAGTAGACCTTGCTGTGTGGCATATCCTTGAAATACTCAGATACTCAAACACTGCGTCATGTCCCTCTTGGTTTCCTCAGACTATTTTGCTGATCATATGGGAGACTATGAAGATGTCTTGGCGTCACTGGAGACCCTGAACCTCTCCATCCTGAAGGCGATGGACTACACCAAGCGGGTGAGTCCTTGCTTATCCTGCCTTGTGCACCATGACCACAACCATGGGGAGGAGCAACCTTTTCCATATGAAAATACGAGTGAGATGTTGAGCTTGGAGAGAAGGGGGGAGCTTTTGAGAAGGCCTGATGAGCATGCCTCTCACTGTGGAGGCACACGAGTTTTCTGGAAGGTGGCAACTTGCCTGATAATACCATGACTGTGAGATGCTGTGTCCGTATATCTGCTGGTGGATTTGATCCTTCTGCTCCACTCAAGTATGTCGTGTTACTGTGGGTCCCCTAGGTAGTGGGAGCTGCACAGTCAGTGAGAACGGCTGCATGCAATACAACAGTGGTGATGCAAATGTGGTATCAGCTGGGCAAATAGATCATGTCTTCATCTTATTTAGCACAGCTGTCTTCACTTTCCCCCGCAAGTAAGCGGATCATTGCGGTAACATGAAGGTGGTGGATATTTTGATCGGTTTTGATAATCTTAGGCCAGCCTGTGAAATCAAGGTGCAACTTGCATGTGAAGTAGATAGTGGCACAGAGGTTTCATGCCAGAGCACTGTACGTTGGCACATGCCATGGGTTGCCTTCTGTATTGCAGAAGTAATAAAGTGCTGTGGTTGTCCGCAGGCAATAAGGCATGCAGACCTCTTGGCTGTGATTCTGAATGCATAAATTCTTGTTAGCTTCATTGGAAGCGCTTTTGGAAATGTTGTCTTTTAAAGCTGCCATTAAATACAGCTTCTGTGCTGGAAATTGTATTGAGTTCCAGAAATAGGGTCGTTAATGTTCACAGCTGATGTATTAGGAAATATATCCTAATACTTTAGGAAATGCATGGGGTTATGCATTTGAAGGACTGGGGCAAATGGTCTATTTGTTCATGCAAGCACCAAAGGAGATGCACAGAGATGTGTCTTATACATGCAGTGGGCCCACAACTTCCTTGGAAACATGCCACCATGTACCTTACTGAAACTGCTAATAAAAACTGACATTGATTCAAAAGCATGCTGAAATTTAATTACAAATATCTGGAGGATTGGAGCTGTTCAGCCACAGAAGCATTCCCACAGAGCACTGAATGCTTTGTTTGATATCTTACTGGGGAAGGAAAGTATTTATAGAGCCAGTGATGCTTTTAAACCATTTTCCTGTTCTTTTCATATCATTTAATAAAATAGCTGGACATTACCAGTTGTATTAATTACCTCAGAAATATGTTAATTCTCCTACTGTTTAATTTGCATCATGCATTCGCATCATGCATTCGTGCTATTACAAGAGAAAAGTAATTTTCTCTTTCACTGCTGAACATAGTTTGGCATGCTGAAAACTGAGCAAAATAAGGAGATTTTGCTTTTTCAAGCATCTTTAGGTACTCCGCTTCCAAGCCCCTTCTGAACAATCCACATTGAAATCTTCCTTCCATTTATCTTTGAAAGTAAAGAAATTACTTCACATTAGAGATGTGGTGATAAGTTTTCCTCTTCTTTAGAGAAGAGGAAATAGCAATATTTTCTCTCTCTTTTATCTGGTTACTAAGTCAAGAATTTCTAGGTTTATTTTAAACTAATATTTTTAATTCGTGAGGGGGCCAAACATATATGTATTCAACATGTTGATGTTTTGCTGAGCTGAAGGAACAAATATTTGGCCAAATCCTGGTCTGTCTGAAATGTATGTGTGTTTTTTCAGACTTCTACAAAACAGTAAAATTTGTATAGTTTTTCTTTTCTTCTGGTTAGGTGCTAACTCTGTATACCTCACATATTTACTATTAGGAAATTTTCTGGCAGGCAGATTTGCAAACTACATATCTTAAATGCATACTAATGTACTGATATAAATCTATTCATAATCCTACTAACAGTGCTTCTGAATGCAAGTTTTGCGTAGATTACTATTTTTTCCTGGTATTTTGCAACATGAGGATGGTTTACTCCCTGCTAATAGATTGGGAATCAGAGCATACAGGGATCAACTTGCATAGAACAATCAGGATGTTTATTCCTGATGCCAATCTTCTAACTTAATTATAAGATCTTTCTGCCTGCTTATGGATAAGCAGTAATTTGCAATAGGATTCCTTTACCTTAATGGAAATGTCTGTAAAGGTTAGCTATGGAAATCTGAGCTCATCACCTTTGCCATCCTCTTGGAGTTCAATGGGGAGAAAATAGGAAGATCCAGAGCATCGTTCATTGGGGCTGTGACCTGCTTTAGGATAAAATGCACTGCTTCTTGGAGGCATTTGCCTTCTGGAACACTATAGGATCACAGGATTATTAGGGTTAAATGTAGACATCTTGCTTCTAAATGTCTGAAGCTAGCTGAAGTGAGTCCCATCCCAGCATCTGCTCATTACACTTCTTTAATCAGACCCTGTGATATGATTCTCCCCACCATGTGTCAGACTTTTGGCAAGCAAGCAAACGTAGCAAGAATTATTCACGGAAAGGATCTGGCAAATAAGTGTTTCATGAAAAACATCGGCTCCCTGCTGTGATTTGTGAACAAAGTGGTACAAACCTCATCAATGAATTATTCAAAAATAGTCTCTTTGTTCAAGTAAAAAAAAAGTGGAGGAAGAAAAAAAAACATGGAAAATAAGCTGTGTTAGGTGGTAGAGAAACTCATCTTCACTGATTAGCTATGGCAGACTTCCAGGCAGCATCAGAAGCCTTTTCAGAGTGAAAGTCATTGATACTTTTAATTTTTTAAGATTTAAGCTTTCTTATGCTGTGTTTTTTCCTAAAAATAAGTAGAAAAAAATAGGAAAGTATTTTCTTACTAGACTTTCCAGTTTTAGTGCCAGAATTGCCAAAATGGAGGGTCAGCAGAAAGCTTCTCATAAAAGGACCAATTCCCAGCTGAGATTCCTTCCCATTTCTGTCTTCAGCTCCCGGGGCAGGTTGCTGGTAGCACTGGGGAGAGCCAAACTGGTCCAGCTCATATGCTTTTGGAGAATCTCTAAGCAAGGTACCCAAAGCCTTATCTGCTCTTGGTTTAGTGATCCTGGGTCTTGCTGCAGCCATTGAGGCTCATGTATCTGGAGATGTTGCTTGTGGAATACTCAAAACCCAAGTTGTGCTGATTTTTGGAGTGTCGATGAGGCTTTTGCAAACCGTCGTGGCTAGCCGTGGCTGTTGGTTCATGTGCTTGGTTTCAGAAAGCAACTGCGGCGCTCTAGAAGTCCTTAGAAACTGTGCCCTCCTCTTTCTACCATTTGTTAGGAAGCACTGCTGGTCTTCAGGTAGACCCAAAACCTCATCCTGATGAAAACAGGATCCCTTGGAGTGGTTTTGTCTGTGTGGATTCCCTTGTTGCTTCCTCTCTCTCTCTCTCCCAAGAAAACTCTCCTGGTGAAAGACACAGAGATAATTTTTTTTGTGTTTTCAGTGTCTTGTAATGACCAATTCACTTAGGAAGGAATGTAGTTGTGTTGGAATACTCTGAAGGCAGATTTCACTTCAACTAAGGCTTTCAAATTGAGTCTGCATCTGTCTATGCACTTGCTACCCATTGATTACACGTCAAGAAAGTGTGTGAGTCCCACTGAAAAATTAACAGTATGAGGAAGGAGAGGCAGAGAGGTTTGATTGGCTCATTTAGGATGTTCTGTTGGGCTAACATTATTCCTTACAACTATATTTCCTTGTGCCTGATATGGCTGCTACTCACGAGCCCCTCTGCAATGGGCAATGAGAGTTGGCTAGACCTCGCATGGGAGACCTTCAAGACGACCTTTGGGCAACCAAGGGGCTAGGGAATTAACCTTTACTGAGAATAAGGCAAGAAGGAGGGCTGGTGAAGTGGCTGTTTCTGCTGTGTGGCAGGTTAAGGCTAAGGATGCTGTAGACCTGCTGCCATCTGGTAGCCTGCAGAGGTGTCTCAGGCCCTGGCCAGATGGTTCAGATGCTCCTCTGGAAGCCCCTGGTGAGATGTAGCCCCTGGAAAGCTGGCTGCTTGCACCCTGCTGCCTTGTCTCCTTTGTAAGGCAAAGAAACTGTACAAAGGTACGGATGGAAGTTGCATTTTAAAGGAACAGATGGCATCAAAGCACTCCCTTGCCTTCCCCTAATTTCCTTCGACTTTCACCCCTACCTAATATTGGTGTCTTGAACTGTGCTGCAATAAAGAAACCTGCACCGAGATGGTGCGAGGGGTCACATCTTCATATCCTCGTAGAGGATCCTTAGTGAGCTGAGGTGAGGCTTTTTTTTTTTTTTTTTTCAATCCTTCAGCTGAGATATGCAGCTCATCAGGACTAATTCATAGAATCATTATGGTTGGAAAAGACCTTCAAGATAATCAGGATCAAGGGACGAATGGTTCAATCTCAAATGTTTTTTCTGCTTTGTCTTCCAGAGAATGCTTTCCCGAGTACTTTGCATCCCTCGGCCTTGTTTTCACTGCCCAATATCCAATTTGGATGTCTCCTGTGCAGGCTGGCTGCAAAAAAACCTGCTGCTACAACCATGAAAATAAACCTCCCCAAATTGCAGCTGCTTGTTTCACTAATGTTTCAGATGTCACGCCAGCTCCCTCGGATAAGGCATTCTCCCTGCTGGATGGGGACAGTGGCTTGTGGTCGCTCTCCCGAGGGCCTTTTTGCAGGGGGAAGCAGCGGCTCCCTCATCCTGGTGCCAGGAAGCAGCTCCACTGGCGGAGCAGCTTCAAGGATGCCCCAGAGACAGGAAGGCAATTCTGCGGGTTGTCACTCCGGGATGAAAAAGGAGACAGCTTTTCCTGCAGTTGTAACAACTAATGAGCCATATGCTGTCTCGAGGGCGTTTACAGCCTGTTCATACAGACGTATACGGAAACTTGGGGGAAACGAGGGAGTCATCCTGGGCGCAAGCTCATCCGTCAAGTCTGAGCTGCTCTAACGTAGGCTCTGAGCTGTAGGAAAGCAGTGGATACTTTGGAGGCAGAGAGCCCTGATGTCTTCCCTTGGTAACTGCTTTTCAATTGAGCCTTTAATTCTGCCTTCCTCCTTTGTCTC